TAACATAGAAAGCCCTTTTGATGAGGAGAATATCCGAGAAAAGCACATCCAACAGATTGTGCAGTGAGCTTGGTGCGTTCTTGTGGAGTAAGATAAACATAACACACACAACCGAAAATACGAAGAGTGGAGTAATTTGGTGGGTGACCATATAACTTAACGAAAGGGGATTCATTACCTATTGACGGAGATGGAATTCTGTTTATAAGATGGACAGCGGTGGAAAGGGCTTCACACCAAAATTGTGACGGCACATGAGACTCCAACAAAAGGGTGTGGACAACATCGAGCAAATGACGATTTTTTATTTCCGCTACTCCATTTTGTTATGGAGTTGAGGGGCATGACCTTTGAGATATAATGCCATTGGATTGCAAATATTCCTGAAATGAGTGTGACATGTATTCCCCTTCATTGTCAGAGCGAAATATTTTTATTTTTGATGAAAATTGGTTTTGAACATAAGCATGAAAAAATTTAAAAGTGGAAAAGACTTCATCTTTTGATCGCAAAAAATAGACCCACGTGAAACGACTATAATCATCAATAAAAGTTACAAAATATTTGTAATTAGCATGGGATATAACTGGTGCCATGCCCCAAACATCACTGTGGATGATATAAAAAAGTTGGGTTATAAGGAATACAAACAAAATGAACAGAATTAAGAGATGGAATGTGTTTATTTCCAAGAAAACTAGATTTTAGCAATTCATGAAGTACATTTGTGTTTGGATGTCCAAGACGCTTATGCCACACTTGGTAATCAACAATAGCAGAATTACACGAAACTAAAAGAAGAGAAAGACTTGGAGGCAATGAGAACTGAATTGGGAAAAGACGTCCAACTTTAGGCCCCTTCGCGATTATCTTCCCCGATTGTTGGTCCTACACAAGACAACCAGATTGTGAGAATTGTACTTGACAATCATTCTCGACTAATTGACCAACTGAAATGAGATTACTAGTAAGATCAGGAGAGACAAAAACATTTGTTAGAGATGAAGAAATATCACCGGTGGATGTGATAGGCAATTGATTTCCATCAGCAGTATGTATCTTGAAATTTCCAAAGAATTTTTTGATATTAGTAAGAAATTGGGCATTGCTGTTCATGTGGTTGGAAGCCCCCGAATCAAAGTACCAAGAGGAAGAGGATTTACCTGAGAATCCTAGAGCAGAGAATGCTGAAACGGTCATTTGTTGAACCATTTCAGGGGTCACCGTTGAAGTAGTAATGGAAGTATTTTGTTGAACCGATGCGAAATTGGCGGAATTGTTAGGAATAGATGAATCAACCGAGGCTGTAAAAGTTGTGACATTTCTCTTTGGTGGCCTGATTGGGCATTCCTTAAGAATATGTCCATCTTTTTTGCAATAGTTGTAAAATTGTTTTGAACAGTTTGAAGCATAGTGTCCTAATTATTTGCAACAAAAACATTGAAATAAAACTCATGTCATGACTTCTTGATTTTCCTCGTGCTACATATGCCACTGGAACAATAGATAAGTTTTTATCTTCAATGATGGATTGTGTAAGGAGATGTTGTTCTTCACGTAATAGATCATTGAAACACGCATCCAATGATGGGATAGGGTTTCGATGCATGAGATTGGACCGAATGCCTTCAAATTTAGATCTTAATTTCATAAGAAATTGATCTTATTTAGTAGTTTCATGAACAGATTGTACAAAACTTAGACCTTCAGGAGTCAAGTCTGCATAAACTATATCGGTGTATTCAGCCCATAGATTCATGAATTGAGAGTAAAAATCAGAGATGGGGAGACTATCCTGTTTAAAGAGAGCTATGTCATGTTCAAGCTGGAATCTTCGAGCGGCATTGTTCTGATTATAGACTTTCTTCAAATATTTACACATTGTGGCTGCTGTTTTGTAAGGTCGAAGATTCAGGACAATGTTGGGATCAACAGAACCTAGAACCCAGGACATGACTTGAGCATCTTTGACCACCCATTTGGCATGTGCAACTTTATCTTTGTCTTTGCAGGGGCTGGAGTGTTGCCATCAACATGACCCCACAAATCTTTTCCTGTGACGAAAATCTAGAAATGGAATGCCCAAGATGCGTAGTTTTTGCCATTAAGGCGAACCAACAAGACTTCATGCTTTTCGGTAGACATGGATCTATAGAAATAGGAATTGGAGAAGAACGACGAATTGAGCGAGAAACAAAAGAGAGAAAAAAACGAGAACAAAGATGAAACAAGATCGTGAAAAAAAAGGACTAGGTTCTTGGATATTAACCTAGGCTGATACCATGTTAACTAAGAAAGTTTTGGTCAAAGAACCGTATCTCTTTTCATTCTGATCTCTCGTATAAATATTGTAGTTACAAGCTGTCAGGATGAATATTCAACCCACTAAATTAGCTAAACTTCCCTATTTACATTTACAGCTAATTATGTTAATTAAGAGAATAAATATTACAAATAGATATGCAATCTCAACAAAATTATTTCTAATAATTAACTCATTATTGCCAATAATTCTGTTGACATATGCAACCTATCTCATCTCCTCTACTCCAATGCATGTGGTACCAAGGTTTTGGAATATCAAAGGTATGTTAATGGTTAATCCAGTCGTTATTGGTTCCTCTCAGAACTTGGTTTCATCTCTGAACTATTAGACTCATTATCGGTTCCTCTCTGAACCTGGTTCCATCTCTGAACCATAATACTCATCGTAGGTTCCTCTCTAAACCTGAGACTCGTCACTGAAATTAAGTATGTCACCTATCTACGATATACATGATGCATGAATGCAACAAACCAAATGCAATACTCGTCTCAAACCTTCAACTCCAATACTCGTTATTGGTTCCTCTCTGTACCTAAAACTCAGCATAACATCGCCAATATAAAGCCACAATAATGGTTCCCCTTTGAACCAACACCTCAACATAAATCAACATTTTTATCATATCTCATCAAAATAATTAAATTATGTAACTTCTCAAAAAGTTCATCAATACTTATCAACAACATGAAAACAACATCAAATAAACATCAAAAATATAATCTACTAAAAAAATAGAGTCGACGATCCAAAATCGATCAAACAAGGGCATGACGGTCACCCAACAGGCATGACGACCTTCATGCCTACATGTCAGCACTACTTCCCACACAACTCATCATCATACTCACACATGGAAAAGAAATCGTACATGAGATCCATGACTGTCTCCCTACCACCTTGTCGACGCTCGTCAGCTTAATCAACACAGTGACGATTGGCATGTTACGAAGGTGATGCCTATCACTGTTGTGCAGAATGCAAATTCTTCATTTTTCACCATTGTAGTACTTTCAAAGTTCTAATTTCGATTCCAGAAAACCCAAAACTCACAACAATTATCACATATCCATTATACAACATTGAGCACATCAACTCTGCACAGCATAACCATTTATATCATCGATTGATGAAAAGATCATTAGCATGTTCATCAACTCTAAGGATCTCAACATGAACATCAAAATATAGATTTGCGCATGCATTTTTATACGAAAATCAATCACCAATACAACACAAATTTTACAACATATCAAAGTAATCAAGAGAGATTTTGCACAAACCATCTCTAGATTCAATAAATTTATCAAAGTAAGAAAATAGAAAGAAATGGGAAAGAGGATAAGGAATCCTCTCTATCATTATACCCTAAACACTCATATCATGAACAATTCTCCTACCTCGAATTTGCAGCAAACTTCAAGATAACACAATGGGATTTATCTTTTTTCCTACCTCTTGCTCTACTAGGACATTTCGATTGGATGAGCCATTGATTTTGTATTCAATTGTTGTGTAATTGAATTTTATAAAATAATATTATAAGTTATTTTTTAATTTATTTATTTATTTCAGTTTTCTTAATTAAAATTATTAAAATTAAAAAATTAAAAAAAAAACAAAGTAGTAGCCATTACTGCCTGTGGCACATGCTTTGCTACTGCCTGTGGTGCATGCTTCTATTGGATGCATGCATGGGCCACTTGTAGTGGCATCATGTAAATGTATTCGAAACTAGGAGTAGCGTCTTAGTGCAAAATACCATAGCACGCACCACCTAGAGTGACTACTCCTCTTGTCGTACAAATTTTTATTATTGAAATATGGTTAATGATCTTACCGAGCGATCAGGACATTAGATGGGCCGAAGACGAATGTCTGTGATGCTGGGTAAAAAGGAGGAGGAGGGGGTGTACCTGCAAGGCACTCTGATGGTAAAGTAAGAAAACGAGCAAGAGAGCGAGCAAGTACAAAATATGTGTTTCTAGGTAAGAAATTGGATACCTGACCCACTCAAGTGAGAGAGTTTATATAATGCCCCCAACACTTGGCCGTTGATCCCTATTTTTAGGAGGAGATAACCGTTTCCCAAAGAATAGGTAACTGACAGAAATAGCCGTTAAGACGGGCAGACGTGCCAATAACTAGCCGTTATGACGGGCAAAGGTAGAGTTACAGGCACAAGCGACTTGGCTGTTTCTGAGTGGTGGAACCGTGCGTGACGGGCAGAGACTAACGGGGAGAAGTGTTGTGACCAAGGGTAAATGGATTAGCCTTCCCTGTTGGAGGGGCAAGAAGGTAAATTCTCCTCCAAAGAAGTTGGACATAGGCAATTAAGTTGTTCTGGGAACAGAAGTGGATTAGGTCGTGCCTAGCCATCGGGGCAGTCCGGAACAGTTAATTTAGTAAATAATTTAAAAAGGTGATTATTTTAATAGTTAATTTTAAAAAGTGGTTATTTAAAAAAAAACACTAAATATTGAGTTGCTCTATTTATTAAAATTAAATATTAAGGTTTTATTTTATCTATTAAAAAGTGCTTTATAAAAAAATAATCGAAAAAGAATAAGAAAGTGATTATGGGTCAAATAAAATTTCCAAAATACTCTTTAAATAGAACTCAAAGTAACAACATTACTCATTCAATCACAATCTTGATTTCTAGTCCAAATTGAAAATGAAAAAACCCTCGACTTTTATGTCATTTTTTCAAATTCTTCTCTTTTCTTGTTTTTTTCTTCAACTCCCTCAATCCTCTACTCAAACGAATGAAATAGTTCTTGATGATTTGGTGGATGACATGTGCAAAAAGACACCAAATTTAAACCTATGTAGCTCAACTATACATTCCAATCCTCAAGCAGGCAAAAGTGACGCAAATGGTATAGCCGTCATTATGGTTAATGACATTCTACAAAGTGTCACTGATACATTGAGTTTTATACAAGGTCTTGTGAAAGAAACCAAAGATCCTGAATTGCAAAGAAAGTATGTTGTTTGTGCTGAGACATACAATCCATTAGTGAAAACCATTCTTCCACTAGCAGTTGATTCTATAAACAAAAAAAACTATGGACTTGCCATTTACTCTATGGGTTATGTTGGAAAGGATATTGATTCTTGCAACAACCAATTCTCAACTGGTTCACCTTTAGCTGATAAGACTAGCAGTTTGCATAAATTGCTTGATATTGGTTCAGCCATTCTAAAACAATTATAAACTATGGCTGATGATTTTATTGATGTATTCTTATTCAATAAATTAAATAAATAGTTTTTATGGATAATAATTAGTATTACTACAATACTCCCTGTATACTTTGTAGCAGCTGTTTTGATATACTAGTACTACTTTTATTTTTGTTAATTTTCTTTCTTACTCTTTATTAAGATTTTGTCAATGAATGGGTGGAAAGTATAAACAATATGTTGCTTAATTACTCTGTCATTTCATTTCATGTAATAAATAATTTATTCAATTTATTATTATATAAAAATGCAATAATATATTGAATTTAATCTGTTCATTTTAAAATATGGAATAATTCAATCCATTCAACTTATGTTATGTAAATTTAAAAGATTATTTTTATTGTTTATTTAAAATCTAGAATCAAACTGTTTTACTATGTTTATTTAAATAATTTGCTATAAATTTATTTTGATAAATACAAGTTTTTTAAACAAAACTAAAAATTAATCACAAATAAAAATAATATATAATTCTAAGTTAAAAGTAATCTATAAGATTTAGTTTTATAAACTTAAATAACGGATAAAGAGATTATCATTGGTTTATATGTAAAATTTAACGATATTATTTATAAGGAAACAATTGATTAGAGAAAGAGAGTACAAAACGTATTCTAACCCTTACTAGAGAGAATGAACGAGAAATCAATTATACCAACCACAAATTTTAGAAGAAATACTACCAACAACGAACTAATTACAAGATAAAAACTTAATGGAAATGACAACTTCATCTACATAGAAACTTTTTCCAAATAAATCAACAAGCCTCTATCTAAGAGTAAGAAAGAAAATTAACAAAACTAAAAGTAGTAAGGGTTAGAAGAAATACTACTTTTAGTTTTTATTAATTAATAAAGAGTTAATGGAAGAAAATTAACAAAAATTAACGAACTAAAAGTAGTAGTATTTTTGTTAATTTTCTTTCTTACTCTTTATTAATTAATAAAGAGTAAGAAAGAAAATTAACAAAACTAAAAGTAGTACTAGTATATCAAAACAGCTGCTACAAAGTATAGAGGGAGTATTGTAGTAATACTAATTATTATCCATAAAAACTATTTATTTAATTTATTGAATAAGAATACATCAATAAAATTATCAGCCATATTTTATAATTGTTTTAGAATGGCTGAACCAATATCAAACAATTTATGCAAACTGCTAGTCTTATCACCTAAAGGTGAACCAGTTGAGAATTGGTTGTTGCAAGAATCAATATCCTTTCCAGCATAACCCATAGAGTAAATGGCAAGTCCATAGTTTTTTTTGTTTATAGAATCAACTGCTTGTGGAAGAATGGTTTTCACTAATGGATTGTATGTCTCAGCACAAACAACATACTTTCTTTGCAATTCAGGATCTTTGGTTTCTTTCACAAGACCTTGTATAAAACTCAATGTATCAGTGACACTTTGTAGAATGTCATTAACCATAATGACGGCTATACCATTTTCGTCACTTTTGCCTGCTTGAGGATTGGAATGTATAGTTGAGCTACATAGGTTTAAATTTGGTGTCTTTTTGCACATGTCATCCACCAAATCATCAAGAACTATTTCATTCGTTTGAGTAGAGGATTGAGGGAGTTGGAGAAAAAAACAAGAAAAGAGAAGAATTTGAAAAAATGACATAAAAGTCGAGGGTTTTTTCATTTTCAATTTGGACTAGAAATCAAAATTGCGATTGAATGAATAATGCTCTTACTTTGAGTTCTATTTAAAGAGTATTTTGGAAATTTTATTTGACCCATAATCATTTTCTTATTCTTTTTCGATTATTTTTTTATAAAGCACTTTTTAATAGATAAAATAGAACCTCAATATTTAATTTTAATAAATAGAGCAACTCAATATTTAGTTTTTTTTTTTAAATAACCACTTTTTAAAATTAACTATTAAAATAATCACCTTTTTAAATTATTTACTAAATTAACTGTTCCGGACTGCCCCGATGGTTAGGTACGACCTAATCCACTTCTGTTCCCAGAACAACTTAATTGCCTATGTCCAACTTCTTTGGGGGAGAATTTACCTTCTTGCCCTTCCAACAGGGAAGGCTAACCCATTTACCCTTGGTCACAACACTTCTCCCCGTCAGTCTCTGCCCGTCACGCACGGTTTCACCATTCAGAAACAGCCAAGTCGCTTGTGCCTGTAACCGTACCTTTGCCCGTCATAACTGTTAGTTATGGGCACGTCTGCCCGTCTCAACGGCTATTTCTTTCAGTTGCCTATTCTTCAGGAAACGGTTATCTCCCCCTATAAATAGGGATCAATGGTCAAGCGCTGGGGGCATTATATAAACTCTCTCACTTGAGAGGGTCAGGTATTCAATTTCTTACCTAGAAACACATATTTTGTACTTGCTCGCTCTCTTGCTCGTTTTCTTACTTTAGCATCGGAGTGCCTTACAGGTACACCCCTCGTCCTCCTTTTTACCTAGCATCACAAACATTCGTCTTCGGCCCATCTCATATCCTGATCGCTCGGTAAGATCATTAACCATATTTCAATAATAAAAAATTGTACGACAACAGGAGTAGTCACTCTAGGTGGTGCATGCTATGGTATTTTGCACTAAGACGCCACTCCTAGTTGCGAATGCATTTATATGATGCCACTACAAGTGGCCCATGCATGCATCCAATAGAAGCATGCACCACAGACAGTAGTAAAGCATGCGCCACAGCAGTAATGACTACTACTTTTTTTTTTTTTTAATTTTTAAATTTTAATAATTTTAATTAAGAAAACTGAAATAAAAAAGAAAATTAAAAAATAACTTATAATATTATTTTATAAAATTCAATTACACAACGATTGAATACAAAATCAATGACCCATCCAATCGAAACGTCCTAGTAGAGCAAGAGGTAGGAAAAAAGATAAATCCTATTGTTGTATCTTGAAGTTTGCTGCAAATTCGAGGTAGGAGAATTGTTCATGATATGAGTGTTTAGGGTATAATGATAAATCCTATTGTCCTTTCTTACTTTGATAAATTTATTGAATCTAGAGATGGTTTGTGCAAAATCTCTCTTGATTACTTTGATATGTTGTAAAATTTGTGTTGTGTTGGTGATTGATTTTCGTATAAAAGTGCATGCGCAAATATATATTTTGATGTTCATGTTGAGATCCTTAGAGTTGATGAACAAGCTAATAATCTTTTCATCAATCGATGATATAAATGGTTATGCCGTGCAGAGTTGATGTGCTCAATGTTGTATAATGGATATGTGATCATTGTTGTGAGTTTTGGGTTTTCTGGAATCAAAATTAGAACTTTGAAAGTACTACAATGGTGAAAAAGGAAGAATTTGCATTCTGCACAACAGTGACAGGCATCACCTTCGTAACATGCCAATCGTCACTGTGTTAACTAAGCTGATGAGCGTCGACAAGGTGGTTGGGAGACAGTCATGGATCTCATGGATGATTTCTTTTCCATGCGTGAGTATGATGACGAGTTGTGTGAGAAGTAGTGCTGACATGTAGGCATGAAGGTCGTCATGCCTGTTGGGTGATCGTCATGCCCTTGTTTGATCGATTTTGGATCGTCGACTTTATTTTTTTAGTAGATTCTATTTTTGATGTTTATTTGATGTTGTTTTCATGTTGTTGATAAGTATTGATGAATTTATTGAGAAATTACATAATTTAATTATTTTGATGAGATATGATAAAAATGTTGATTTATGTTGAGGTGCTGGTTCAAAGGGGAATCATTATTGTGGTTTTGTATTGGCGATGTTATGCTAAGTTTTAGGTACAGAGAGGAACCAATAACAAGTATTGGAGTTGAAGGTTTGAGACGAGTATTGCATTTGGTTTGTTTCATTCATGCACCATGTATATCATAGATAGGTGACATAATTAATTTCAATGACGAGTCTCAGGTTTAGAGAGGAACCTACGATAAGTATGATGGTTCAGAGATGGAACCAGGTTCAGAGAGGAACCGATAATGAGTCTAATAGTTCAAAGATGGAACCAGGTTCTGAGAGGAACCAATGACGACTGGATTAACCATTAACATACCTATGATATCCAAAAACCTTGGTACCGCATGCATTGGAGTAGAGGAGATGAGATAGGTTGCGTACATAATCGCATTTGTAGTTGAATCTTGTTATGGATGATTCATGTGATTGATGATTGATATTATTTACACTATCCTTGTTCTTTTATACACCGCTAACATGTGTGAATGTACTATCACCCATGTTTGCTTGTTTGTGTTATTCTTTACGGATGTGGTGCAAATACTAAAGTAGAAGAGCCTTAGTTATTGTTGTGTTTTTGGAGGATGGCGTATTGGCATTCTTCGTCATTTATTGCTTTTGAGTTTATTTTAATTTATGTGTGTCACTCTGATAATGTAACATTGGGATGTATTATCTTTATATTTTATGGCCCGAGAGTTATTGAACTGTTTCTTTCATGATTTGAAATGAATTTGTTTTATTTACGAGACACTTAAATTGAGTTGTTGTTTTATTATTTATTTTCCGCTGCTATAATATGATAATTGAGAAAGATTTTTACGCTGAGAAAATGTGACACCCTATTTTTTAGTAAACTATCCACATGTTTTTATAAATTAAGTGTTTGGGGTTTTAGAATGTTACATAGTTGGTATAAGAGCAAATCGGTTCATTCGACCTAGGTTTTGTGAACTTGTTTATACCTTTATGTGCAACATGTGTGTTAAATACTATTGGTGTTGTTGGTTCTTGTAACAGTTATTTTCTATACTGTTTACTATTGTTTAACTGGTTTTGAATAGAGGTGTAGAGAGAAATGGATGGCAGGAACGATCATGCGACCTCTTTGTAGGATAAGGTCCCAAGAAAGCATAGAGTTTGTTGGACAAGGAATAATGGATGAGTACCTCTTTTGCCCAGATAACAATCTTCTCATTTGACAATGGAGGCCCAGAGATGAACTCTCTAACTTCCTAATC